ATTATCCGAACAAAGTGTGGCAGTGTTCTTCCCTAGATGCACCATCCATGCAAGTTTGGTCCAGACAGGGTTTATATTCACTTTGGAATGGATTTGATTCTGGAGAGGTATTCTGAAATTATTGGCCCCTGAGTTGAGGATGTATGCTTTGAAAAATTTCTCGGTTCATGAGCTTCTAGGAGGCAAACAATTTCATGGATAATGATATTTTACCAGATTTACGAAATTCTGGACCACTTGGTCAAGTTATTTAAGCTGAACACTGGTCATAACTCTCCTGATTTTGTCGGGAAATAGATAAGTTAATCTCCTTTTATGTACATTTGATACTAGTAATTAATCACCGTAAAACTTGCAACTGAAAGAACAATTAAATGAAAAAAATGTCATGTATTCAAATATCTTATTGTATAATACTAGGGTACTTTTATGGCGGGTAGGCTTGTTATTATAGATAATTAAAATTGAGAACAAAAAATACCTTTTCTTTTCTAAACAAATTACGCTTTGAAACCCAAATCCAAATTGTGAATTATTATTTTGAATGAAATGGATCTTCTCCACAGGGCAAGCTCCATCTACCGACGTATATGATTTTTTTTTTAATGGGAGCAACACGGGTGCCTGGGTCTTGGTTTATAAATATGTATACCTATTGTTATGTAAAAATACATATTAATAGGTATACATATTAATAAACCAAGACCCAGGTACATGTCGAGAGCAAGACCCTGTGCCTTCATCATACTTTTTGAGAAACTTATTTTGAATATACATGTATATATAAATATAATCAGAATGTATTCAATTTACTTTTGATTTCGACAAAACCAAGATGTGTTTAAGAAATACTGATGCATCCATATTGCAACATAGCGAAGGTTAAATTTTCTCAAATGCAAGTTAAACATGTTGATATCCAAAGTAGGGTCTTTTCACAAGAAATACAAATGTAAAATATTAAACCTTGCACCACCTGTTCAAAAGTTATGGCCAAGGATAACATTTTTAAAAGTAGGTTGAACTCCGGGGTCAACGTCGAAGGGCAAGGCTGTTGGTTTCTCGAGAAAGGCCTTGTCACAAAGATTACATATGGGAAGTACGGAAGCCCTAGCTCTAATCGTTCAAAAGTTATGGCCAAGTTTAAAGTTTTTTTAAAAGTATGTCAAACTCCAAGGTCAAAGGGTAAAAGTTCAATGAAAGGTCTTCTCACAAGGACTACATATAGGAAGTATGATTTAAAGCGCTAACCCTTATCGTTCAGAAGTTATTGCCAAGGTCGAAATGTTTTTGAAAGTAGGCCATTCTACAAGGTCAAGGTCAAAGTTGTTGGTATCCAATCGAAGGTATTGTCACAAAGAATACATATGTGAAGTTTGAAAAACCTAGCAACAACCGTTTAAAAGTTATTGCCAAGGTAAAAGTTCTTTAAAAGTAGGCCAAACTCTAAGGCAAAGGTCAAAGTTGTTGGTATCCAATGAAAGGTCTTAACACAGGGATTACATATGTGAAGTATGGAAGCCCTAACCCTTACCGTTCAAAGGTTATGGCCAAAGTAAAAGTTTGGAATTTGGTGTAAAAGTGTGTCAAATTCCAAGGTCAAGATCAAGAGGTCAAATTTGGCGGAAACCAAAAAAAGTCTTGTAACAAGAAATATACCTGTGAAATATGAAAGCCATAGTCCCACCCACTGACCCAGTCAAAAGTTGGTTCAAGTTTTTGCGAACAAGCAGACAGACAGACAGATGGACGGACAGGGCAAAAACTATACACCCCTATACTTCGTTTACAATGCATAAAATTGAAAATATTAGTTAGTTTTTACACAAAACGCTAGTTAACGTAAGAATTTAATACAGGAAACTACAACATTGTCAAGCACGTTGGCTCAGAATTAAAGAAGGTCGGGCTCGAGTAACAGGAGAAAATCAATATGGCGCTGTCCATCGACTTGAAAAAAGTATTTTGTTACATTACTTAGTAATTGTAGTTAGTATACTTCTTTTTATTAATTGAACTTAAAAGAACATATCATAATAAGATAACAATTTTATTTAAATTAGGGCAAGATAGTAGCATTCACTTTGTTGATAAGACCGTAAGGTTGGCATGTAATGATGTATCGTGGCAGGATAAAATTCATAAACAGATTCATATTCATTGGTGAGTCGGTGACATCGGCAGATGAACACAATGTCAATGTCGGGGATAATTTTCAAAAGCTTCGCTAAATGGGGAATTTCTTAAATCTTCATGTGTTCTATTCAAACTGATAAACTAACTCTTGTGTCAGAGAAATGAATTCAGAAGGTCTAACACAATGTCTTAATTAAGCTAAATAGCTTTAAGTAGCTATATAGCTTTTTTAAGCTATTCAAAATAGCTTGATAAAGCTATTTATATGCAGTTTTTCACAGAAACGTGTTTTTTTTCAAGAAATAAACAAAAAGTCGCAAGTATTTGACTATTCATTATATTTAGTATGGACTATCAAAAATACAACCTACATCAGAGAAAGTTCTAACATTGCTGCTGTTGAATTCTTTTATGCAAAATTTGAATTTCTATTGTATGAGTAACTGCCCACTACTTTGCATGCGGTGAGGCGTGAGTAAGTATGATTGCGTTGCATTGTGCTGAACTCTTACCAATCAATTATCCTGTTGGCCATAACTGACCTCCTTTATAATTTCATTCCAGAAATAACTGTGTGGTCACTCATCAGTAGCCCCAAACCTTTTAAATTTTGAGTACAAAGTCTCTCAAGGAGACGCAATCTGGTGAGTGATTTTTACATGCATATTGTATTCATAAGAATTCAAAGTTTAATATTTCCTCTGCACCAAGGTGCGACTTTTTGCAAATGTTGAAAAAATAACACATTTGAGAAAAAAAGTTTGATAAAATAGCTTGATCAAACTATTATGAATAGCTTTATAAAGCTATATAGCTGAAACAAGCTATATAGCTTAATCAAGAGATTGTGCCGGACCTGTTCAGTCAAAATTTTCAAAAGAAATACTCTTTTAAGTATGTACACCAGATCCAGTCCAAAGACTATTTCTACCTACTTAGCTTCTTATAGCTACCTAATTTTTTTCAAAACGTACTCCATTTTTACCTACTTTTTGCTTTATTTGCATTTTGTGGCCAAACACATGAATGGCGCTACATGATTTGCACCACATTTTTCTTTACAGTCACATGATGATGAATATGACAAAAAATGGGGGGGGGGGGGATGATTACTTTTTAACATATCAATTTTGCATAAAAACAACACATATTTTCATTTTGTAGTAGCTAAGGATCAAATTTATGTCTTTAATTACAAATGTGTATCAATTTTGAAGTAAATCTTCAAGCAATCTTAAGATCTTTAATGCCTTTCCTCACCAGTCTCCACCCTTAAGAAACGTTTTCAAATTAACATGCTGAATTTTTCCATGCAGGTGCACAAGATGATAAACAATAAGTTTGACATGTTTGAAAGATGTACTGTTATTATAATTTAATTGTTTTGTTGTAAGACATGTAAAAATAGGTAGAAATAGCTATTTTAAGAAGCTTTAAATACCTAGGTAGCTATTAATAGCTACGTAGGTAGAAATAGTCTTTGGACTTGACCTGCACACTGTCCTGCAACCTTCAATTATGATTATTGATTTGATATGACAAAGTTTGAATTTGTTAAGACAAGCACAGTTTTTTTTTGTCAATGAATAATTTCTCCTTTTAAACGATATATATCTGGCATTTTATATTGCCTACTGCAACCACTTTTTTTCGATAATTGTCTGTAGTGTAATTTATTGCTTCTCACGTGATTTCAATTTTTTCACACAATATTCGTGACCAGACCACATAAATTTGTAATATTAGTTATGTTTTCCTCAGTTTGGACTTTAACATAAAATATTATTCAGGAATTTCCTTAAACTCTGGATACTTCTTAGATACTATTTTAATCAGCAAAAAATCTGCAATGCCAAATGAAAAGGAATGTTTAGTGAGGATACATAAGCAAGTATCCTAGCTTGCAGAAAAACTCCATTAAAAGTGTGAACTCACTATTTGATAATGCATTTATTTCACATATTTCCCCCAATTATGAATTCATATCTACAGTTTGTTTTTTACTTGATAAATTCTACATAATTTACATGTTCCAGGGTCCCTAAGACCCAGGGATTGGGGAATTTTCCAGCTTATAATGATGCAATCCTGGTTATTTTGATATTCCTTTTAAACTCCCAATTAGGAGAGGAACCCCATCTTCCCAAGTCAAGAGTTTCTGATCCGCTCTGCTCCACATAAACCCTTGACCGAGTAGACTAAGTTTGACAGGGTTAGAAATGCGTTCTCTGATTGGCCTCATGCAAGTCTGTGTGAATCAATCAAAGTCATTGTTTTATTTAAACTGAAACTAAATCGCAAACTGAACATCATGCCAGTTTTAGTCCCAAGGATAACGTCTTTATCATTAAATAGCCCAGTTAAAGGTTTGTCTCAGCTTTTTAGTTGAGTTATATTGAATTTATTACCGACTTCCAATATTATCTCAAATTCTGTGTTAAATTCGTTTACTCTGATTGGCCAATAGCAGAGGTCAGTAGAGTTCAACATGTGTCATCTCACTAGATGGCGTGACAGTAAACCCCGTCAAACTTAGTCTATTCAGTCAAGGGTTTATGTGTAGCGGAGCGGATCAGAAACTTTTGACTTGGGAAGATGGAGGAACCCCAGACCCCATTCTAATTTTTAAATGCCCTTTTCTATTGCAATTCCTAGGGACAACCCTGTATTTAAAAGAAAGAAATGAAAGGAAATGAAGTCTATAATCTAATAATTATAACACTGAAGTAATTCTGTCAGTGATGAACTTAGAAATAGATATGAAATATCAATATCCCATATTATGAATTCAACATGTTTCTTCATAAAATGATGTTACACACCTGTTCAATTAATCAATCTATTATTTTTTTGTTTAAATATAGATTAAAATGTGAAGCAGCTATGGCTGTGAATTCTTCTATGGGTGGTTGTGAGAGGTTCCTCTATGAAGCATGCCATCCAATACACAGTGTTTCCTGTGTGGAAAGAGATGGACTCCACTCCAGTTTTCTCTCATAGTTCTGATATGTTTAGTTTTGTTCAATGAGTATTTCATCTACGTCTTTCAAACCATGAGATGGCCAGCCATGCCAGACGTGAACAGGTTTGTATACATATTATCACATACTGTACCAAGACAATACTTTCTAATTAAAATATCAATATGTACTGTATGTGTAATGAATTGGTGTATTCAAAATTTAGCGGAATCAATGGGTATAAAGTTGTTAGCATAATCATGAATTAGCGCTACGCATGTTCATGCCTTGTTTTGTATTAGTAAATGATTTCTTAGTGGTATTCATGAATTAGCGCATTCTTGTCCGTGCCAAAGCCGCTAAAATATGAAGCCCGCTTTTTTTAGTACACGTACAGTATTTGTCTTTCGCATATTAATTTATACAAAGCTTTGAAAGTATTCAAACAGTTTGATGTTATAAAATTTAAAGTTGATTATGTATATTATAAAAATCTGACATGTCAGGTTTTCTTTAGTTTCAATTAAGTCCCAATGAGTTTAGGATAACAAGATTTGGTTGTATATTTGCTGCTCATGTCATGCAGTTTACAGTAAAGAAGGAAAGATACACTGTAACATATTTGTTAAAGTGGAATACAGGATTTAATTATAAACCCTTGTCTCGCAGGGAAGATGGCTCATCAGTTGTTATTTTGCTGGTAGCCGACCCCCAGATACAGGGGTACCAGACAGAAGGAGTTTGGATAGGACCTTACGCCAGATGGGATGCTGATAGGTAATTATTTCAGTAATCGATTAATGTAACAGTTAAATTTGTTTCATGCACATTTAGTCATTGTTTTATTGACATACTGTATACTTTACCATGTAGACAAAAAAAAAGGGGATAGATGTGGATCAATGAAACAAACTGTTTTCATCATTTAAAAAGGGCATCAAGCATTATTTTAAAAATATGAACAATAGAAAAAAAAGATTGAGGATCACATTGTTAAATGAAAGAGAAATTGAAAAAAAAGATGGGAAGGGAGGGGAGAGCTTGCACCAAGTGTCTGTGCCCTCAATATAGTAAATACATGTAAGTGAATTTTGATTGAAAGAAAAATAAAATAAATGGAATACTATTATTGAGATATATACATTCAAGATAGAGTGCATGTATGTCTTGATTATACATATATTTTTTAGTTACCTCAAAAAGACATTTTCCTTTGCTGCGGCTCATGCGAAGCCAGACGTTGTGATATTTTTGGGCGACCTGATGGACGAAGGAAGTCGGGCCACTCACGATGAATACAGAGATACCTATTACAGATTTCATAACATTTTCTCAAACTTCCCAAGTGCCAAGGTACTTCCATGTTTATAAGAAAAAGGGCTTAAAGGTCACTGACTCTCAGATAAGGTAGTTAACTCTCAATTTGATAAAAACCTATTATTTATTTTAACATGTTTGTGTTAAGTAAAAATTTTTACTCCTGCAAGGTAGGCTAAATTTGTGTGGATTCTAATTAAAAATTTGTCATCTTTTGGAAAATTATTACCTATAAAGCAAAATTTTGGGTTAGCAGAGGAGTTACTTGTAGAATCTTGGATACTGCTTTTTACTACTGATGCATGGTGTAAGTGCTTGCATTCTTTTTAAAAAGGTATGATTTTTTAGGGTTCAGTAGGGTGTTGGACTGTTGGTTTGTGCCTTTGGGCCCCAAAAACATTATTGTTGTAATATGTACAATAAAACTGGTTTAGTTTGAACACGGATATAGCAAATTCATGGATATAGCAAACTTTTTCTAGGTCCCCGGCAAAATTTTTAACAAATCTTTGTAAAATTTTACGGTTATAACGAAATCTGATATAACGAATTTACTGATATATAGCAAACTTATTTTGAGTCCCTTTTAGGTTAAATATAATGAAATTTACATCTTTTATAATGAACTTTCAAAAATCTCAAAATTTGATAAATTGAACTGACTTTATTTTCTGTTAGCATTTATATATAAATTTTAATTCATAATAAAATCTTAGTTATCGAAAGTTTGTTTTGTAATATTTGCTTCCCTAATATATTTGGTAGTAATACTTGAAGGAAAACATGCATATTGTGAATTCGCTGTATATGGTTATACGAATTCGTTATACGGATATAACGAATTATGGAGATAGTGAATTAAATTCACAGGTCCTCAGGACTTCGTTCTAATCAAGTGGAAAATTAAAGGAACATTTTAAAAAAAATTTCAAGATTTATGTATGGCATCTATACTCATATTATTTTTTCTCAGAGAATCTACATTCCAGGAGATAATGATGTAGGAGGGGAATTCAGGGACTTTCGCACACCAGAGAAAGTTGACAGATTTGTCAAACATTTTGAACAAGTTGATGGCATTGTTCAACATAAGTTCATAGATTTTATTAAGGTTAGTCAGAATTGTGTAAAAAATACATATATGATTTAAAAAAAAATAAACTTTAAGAATTAAAGTTATCTACTGAGCCCACCCCATCATTAAGGGGGGTTGGGGGTGGGTGTTGAGGGATATGATTTACAGAAAGAGATAGTCGCATTGTGTTTTATGCTTATAGAACAGATCCTAGTGTCAGATTAGACTTACTTGTAGTAAGAATCACTTGCAATGTGTGTCATTTGCTGTGATGATTGCACCTCCTTTCAAGAGGAACATGTTTCTATGGCATTTCAATTTACATATCAAGTTATCACATCATGGTAAACTTCATTTTCCTCAGATTGACACCCGACTACAGAATACGGAGTTCCAAGAAAAGGAGCAGCTGTTCAGACATTACAGGAAGTCAGTGAACTCACCCATCCATGTTGTCATCAACCACGAGAGTCTGTTACCCTTACAGTTCAAGTCACCTATCTACCCTGTAAGTCCTCAGAGAAGTTTGTTAATCAGCTGGGAACAGTTCCTATAATAATTTCAAAAAGTGTTTCATCTTCGCTAGCCAAGGGTTTTCGGTCCTGACCACTCCCTATAATCATATGGGGAGTGGAGAGAACCAAAAAACCTTGGCTAGCTAAGATGAAAATTCTTTAGAATTTTACTGATAACTGCACTTTTATGTTATCTGATTTTACTTAGAAATATTTTTTTGAGGTTAAAAGAAAGATTTATGCCCCAAATGCACTTTCAGTTCAGAACAGAAAAACTGCAGTCTCCATTAAAAACTTCCTTTATTTTTGTACTGTTGTAATAATCTGCTATCAACTGCATATTAGGTTTACATCTTCCATCTTATTCATTTGATACTCAAAAGCATGCTCCAAGTATGATCGAGTTCTACATATAGGCAGGCAACTAAAAAAAAAAGGTCAATATTACACGGATTTCAACGCTTTACTTAAAGTGAACCCTTTATAAATCCCATGGTCATTATAATGACCTTATTAGCAAAAATAACCATGATTATATTGTATTTTGGTTTAAATTTTTCATACTAATTGTTTATAGGCCCAGTGTTTTGTACTAAAGATTGACCATGGAATATTCTGTCTTCCTGATTAATACTTAAGGCTAATTATGGTGGGTATGACTGATCAACAGGGGATGCTTACTCCTCCTAGGGATTTGATCCACCTTTGAAATTTTCAGGGGTCTTTGTTTTAAGAACCCTTTATACACTGCACACTGAAGAGTTCTGATTCTATGGTATTTTTCTGCAGTTAGAGTGATCTGCCCTTAGATCTAAATTCTTAAAAATAGAAATTTACAGTATATTACTCAATTTGTAATTAATTCTTGTATTCTAAACATTTTAAAAGGCCAAGATAAATTAAAAGAACATGTTATTTACATGTGTTGTCTGTATGGAAGTAAAGAATAGTGATTTCTATTCACTGATACTGTTTTGTGTTTGAAAATTTTTCCTTGGGGTAAATGTGACATACCATTTAATGAAAATTAAATAGATAAGCTCAATATTAATATCTTTATACAAATTTTTTTTCCTCAATTTCTAAAAAACATTTTGTACTGGTCTGGAGCCCTGTTCACTGATTTATATTGTTTGTGGATTTATTTTTTATATCAATCACTTCTTGTTATCTTCACTTGTTTTTATCAGAGATATGTCTATTCCTAAAAAAATAGTACTTTATTTTAGCAGGATGCTAATTTTGGCTTATTTTGGCGTTTTGATCATAGTCCGCTAAAATTTTAATCGCTAAAATAGTCAGTAATCTTCTTAGTGTCCATCTGTCAAGAGCTGAAACCTCGCGTCCGCTAAAATAAATTATGCCAAAATTATTGGCATACCTTTGAGTAGGCAAAACGCCAAATTTTACACCCGCCAAGAAAATCCGCTATACGGTATTTTTCAGTCAGATATACTATAGTGATGATAGAATTACTTTGAGTATTGGCAACAAATGTTGCAAGTTTTATCTCAAATGAAGCATAATGTTAACGGTAAATGATGTCAATTCAAAGGTATCCAATTTTTATTAAATATTTTTGCAGATTTTATCCATGGTTAGTGGCAAACTCATCTTCTCAGCTCACTGGCACAAGGTAAACAAGTTACAGAATCAACAGCATTCAAATGCCACGATAAGTAATGGCACATAATGCCACATTATATTCAATCATTAGATATACTGTAAAATCACATTTTCATGGGGTAAAATTTTCATGGTTTGAGGAAAAACTCTTAAGGTTCTTAGGGATTTTATTTCATGGATGAAGAATTGTTGGGTAGTTATGTATGTAACATTTTACGTTTTGTGGTGAACATAAATTCGGGGTCTCTTCCAATCTGGAAAACAATGAAAATTAAACCCATACGGAAATTTATTATTTTACAGTTTCTCAGAAATGTTAGATTTTCATGTATAAGATTTTAAAAAATCTACTTCCATCTATTAACAATAACAGATTGATTTTGAATTTTATTTATTTATTTTTTTTTTTTAAATGTAAAGCAATGTTTAACATTTGAATACCGAAATTTCATGCATGTGTAGAAGTAAATATTGATTTTTCCATATTTAATTTCTCTTACAGCCAGTTGCTTATATTTGCGATGACTGCATGAGAAATGATGATTATTCCTGGTCAGTTCACCAGCGAGACTTGACCCACATGCATGGCTTCATGTTTGAGAACATTACCCGCAGTGCGGATTGCCTGACAGAGATAATGGTCCCCACCTGTAGTTACAGAATGGGGGAACCGAACATGGGATACGGGGTGGCCGTCTTAGGTAATTTAAGTATAGTTGTACTTTGATATCTAATAGGTGACTATTGATTAAAGCCTAGAATTGTCTTGGTCGTGCAGTGGTTAGAGTGTTCGCACAAGAGTCACAGAGTTAGGAATTGATCCTTTTATTGTGGGTTGGAATCGGCTATTCCTTCATGTAAGAAGTCACGAAAATCATGGCCAACAACATCATACCAACACATTTGTCCAGCACAGACCAGCTGCATTTAGCAGCATTTATCCTGCACAGACCCTCTGGTAGAGTCAGCGGCATTTAGCGGCATTTGTCCAAGACAGACCCTCTGGTAGAGTCAGCGGCATTTAGCGGCATTTGTCCAATACAGACCTTCAAGTAGGGTCAGCGGCATTTAGCGGCATTTGTCCAAGACAGACCCTCTGGTAGAGTCAGCGGCATTAAGCGGCATTTCTCCAGCACACACCCTCTGGTAGAGTCTGCGGCATTTAGCGGCATTTGTCCAACACAGACTCTCTGGAAGAGTCAGCGGCATTTAGCGGCATTTGTCCAACACAGACCCTCTGGTTGTGTCAGCGGCATTTAGCGGCATTTGTCCAAGAAAGACACTCTGGTAGAGTCAGCGGCATTTAGCGGCATTTGTCCAAGAGAGACCTCTGGTAGAGTCAGCGGCATTTAGCAGCATTTGTCCAACACAGACCCTCTGGTAGAGTCAGCGGCATTTAGCGGCATTTGTCCAGAACAGACCCTCTGGTAGAGTCAGCGGCATTTAGCGGCATTTGTCCAGAGACAGACCCTCTGGTAGAGTCGGCGGCATTTGGTAGAGTCAGCGGCATTTAGCGGCATTTGTCCAACACAGACCCTCTGGTAGAGTCAGCGGCATTTAGCGGCATTTGTCCAAGACAGACCCTCTGGTAGAGTCAGCGGCATTTAGCGGCATTTGTCCAAGAGAGACCTCTGGTAGAGTCAGCGGCATTTAGCGGCATTTGTCCAACACAGACCCTCTGGTAAAGTCAGCGGCATTTAGCGGCATTTGTCCAAGACAGACCCTCTGGTAGAGTCAGCGGCATTTAGCGGCATTTGTCCAAGACAGACCCTCTGGTAGAGTCAGCGGCATTTAGCGGCATTTGTCCAACACAGACCCTCTGGTAGAGTCAGCGGCATTTAGCGGCATTTGTCCAAGACAGACCCTCTGGTAGAGTCAGCGGCATTTAGCGGCATTTGTCCAATACAGACCTTCAAGTAGGGTCAGCGGCATTTAGCGGCATTTGTCCAAGACAGACCCTCTGGTAGAGTCAGCGTCATTAAGCGGCATTTCTCCAGCACACACCCTCTGGTAGAGTCTGCGGCATTTAGCGGCATTTGTCCAACACAGACTCTCTGGAAGAGTCAGCGGCATTTAGCGGCATTTGTCCAACACAGACCCTCTGGTTGTGTCAGCGGCATTTAGCGGCATTTGTCCAAGAAAGACACTCTGGTAGAGTCAGCGGCATTTAGCGGCATTTGTCCAAGAGAGACCTCTGGTAGAGTCAGCGGCATTTGTCCAACACAGACCCTCTGGTAGAGTCAGCGGCATTTAGCGGCATTTGTCCAACACAGACCCTCTGGTAGAGTCAGCGGCATTTAGCGGCATTTGTCCAGAACAGACCCTCTGGTAGAGTCGGCGGCATTTAGCGGCATTTGTCCAAGACAGACCCTCTGGTAGAGTCAGCGGCATTTAGCGGCATTTGTCCAAGACAGACCCTCTGGTAGAGTCAGCGGCATTTAGCGGCATTTGTCCAAGACAGACCCTCTGGTAGAGTCAGCGGCATTCAGCGGCATTTGTCCAAGACAGACCCTCTGGTAGAGTCAGCGGCATTTAGCGGCATTTGTCCAGGACAGACCCTCTGGTAGAGTCAGCGGCATTTAGCGGCATTTGTCCAAGACAGACCCTCTGGTAGAGTCAGCGGCATTTAGCGGCATTTGTCCAAGACAGACCCTCTGGTAGAGTCAGCGGCATTTAGCGGCATTTGTCCAAGACAGACCCTCTGGTAGAGTCAGCGGCATTTAGCGGCATTTGTCCAGGACAGACCCTCAGGTAGAGTCAGCGGCATTTAGCGGCATTTGTCCAGGACAGACCCTCAGGTAGAGTCAGCGGCATTTAGCGGCATTTGTCCAGGACAGACCCTCTGGTAGAGTCAGCGGCATTTAGCGGCATTTGTCCAAGACAGACCCTCTGGTAGAGTCAGCGGCATTTAGCGGCATTTGTTCAACACAGACCATCTGATAGAGTCAGCAGCATTTGTCCAAGCAGTTCTTCATATTTGTTGAATAAATTAAGACAATGCTACTTATAATGAGATGATTTTGAAACATTCCCAAGTAAAGCTTCTTATGCAACTTGCTGTAATTGATGGAGTAAATACATAAATATTTTCTTTATTTGGTATTTTATTTTGCATATGTTCATAAGTATAACTTAATAATTAATATGTAATACAGGGGTACTTCTAATGTATTAGTAAAAATAAGGTAATGGAGCAGTAATAAATGCATGAAGCCAGATGTTTAACACCTTTTCCCTAATCATCTTCTGTTTTGTTATAATGGTGGTAATTTCGTCTGTATCAAACTGCAAGATATCAATAACTGTAAATTGCTAATCAACATGATGCTTATGGCTAGTGCTGACCAAGATAAAGCTGTTAATTGAATTATTTTCAAAGATACTACCAAAGCACAAAACATTATTTGTAGGCCTTGAATTTAAACTGATATTTAATTACCGGGGTTATATTTTTTTGAATACTGGAAATACCATCAAAGCAAATGGAAAATAGTTGAATATTACTCAGTTCCTAGAGGCATGTTTATAATGTTTCTCAAGCAAATATGTAGTTTTTTTTTATGTTTGACAAATACAAATAAGCCTTTCATTTGAAAAAATTGTTTATTATCACTACCGGATAGATATGTTTGCTTGCTGTATAAATGAAAAAAAAAAACCCAATATCATACTGTTTCGATTCCCCGAAGTTCATATGAACGTGATTTGAGGGCTGGAATGGATGATTAAATGTTAAAATTTACCTAATAAATCTCAATCCACTGACTCATAAATAAGCTGCATTTAAAATCTTTTACGGAATAAACAGCATGATTTTTAAAATGTTCACTTATTCCAGATTCAAATCTTATACGGAACAAGTTGCATTTTATACCTTTTGCGGATTAAGCTGCATAATTATAAAATGTTATCCTATCCCAATTATAGATCTTTAATGGAATAACTGCATTTTATGTTATTATTTTTTTTTTACGAAAAGAAAGGGCATGATTATAAAATGTTAGAATATCCCGGTTTCAAATCTTTATAAAATGTTCATCTATCTCATTTTTATATCTTTTATGGAAAAAGCTGCATTTTAATTAAATTTTTTACGAAATAAACTGCATGATTATAAAATGTTAACCTATCCCAGTTTCATATCTTTCACGGAATAAGCTGCAGATTTTAAAATGTTCACCTATTCCAGTTTTATATCTTTCACGGAAAAAGCAGCATTAAATTTAAATCTTTTACGGAACAAGCTGCATGATTATAAAATGTATCTCAGTTTTATACCTTTTACGGAATAAGCTGCATTTTAAATCTTTAACGGAATAAGCCGCATCATTACAAATTGCTAACCTATCCCAATTTTTATATCTTTTACGGAGTAAGCTGCATGCATTGATTATAAAATGTTAACGGTAAACTATCCCAGTTTTATATCTTTATGGAATAAACTGCATGATTACAAAATGTTAACCTATCCTAGTTTTAAATCTTTTACGGAATAAGCTGCATGAATATAAAATGTTAACCTTTCCTAGTTTTATATCTTTTACGGAATTTAATAGCTGCATTTTATATCTTTTACGGAATAAGCTGCATGATTACAGAATTTTTACCTATCCGAATTTTATATCTTTTACTGAATATTGGCCATAATGAAAATATTTCTAGATTCTCATCCCTGCCCACTCTGAATTTATACCTTCTTATTTCTGTTTTTCTTCGTCTTAATTCTCATCGGGATCAGTATTCATCTACCATTCTACTTTCGTTTTAAACATGATTTTTGACGGCTGAAAAATTGCTGTAATACGTATATATTTTAAACAAGGGTCATTGGTTGAAAAAGATTGGTGATGATGTGAAGTAAGAGATAATTGAACCTTTACTATGACTTTTATTCGGGTATTGTAGATAAAATCTGTGAAATTGAAAAAATAAAAAGTATAAAATAAAAGCCGCCCGCCCACCTTGATTTTTTTTTTTTTAAATTGGATGAGAATCTAGCAATTTATTTATTATGGCTTGAGCTGCATGATTGTAAAATGTTAACCTATCCCAGTTTTATATCTTTTACGGAATAAGCTGCATGACTAGATCAATAAACAATGTATTCCTTTAAAATCAGAGCATGTTAATTTGAGATAATTCTGGAAATGAAACTAAATTTCTGTCATGTGCTTGTTGCTACTTGCTTTAATGTTGGTTTAATGAAACTTGTCTTGGTATTTCATGTAACATGGATATTTGTTTTAAAAACCAAATTAAATAATGCTTATAAAACATGTAAAATTTGGTTTAAAAAGCTAATGAGAAAAAATTATGGCCTGATTGAAAATTTTTGTAGAGAATCCTTTACTGGACTTTTACAAATCGGTCTTGAAAAAAATAAATTCAACTTTGCATGGTGTGCCTCTGAAAGTCTTTTTTTTCTAACTTCATTGATAAAAATAGTTTAAAACAGTTGCATACAATGCTCATAGGGTTTATTTGTTGAATAAATTAAGACACAGCTACTTATAATGAGATAATTTTGAAACATTCTCAAAGTAAAGCTTCTTCTGTTACTATAATTTATGGAGTAATTACATTATTTTCTTTATTTAGTATTTTATTTGACATATTTTCATAAATATAACTTAATAATTAATATGTTATACATGGGGTACTTGAAATTTAATAGTCATAATCACATAACCGAGCAATATCAAATGCATGAAGCCAGATGTTTAACACCTTTTCCCTAATCATCTTCTGTTTTGTTATATTGGTGGTAATTTTGTCTGTATCTGACTGCAAGATATCAATAACTGCAAATTGCTAATCAGCATGATACTTTAATATGGCTAGTGCTGACCAGGATAAAGCTGTTAATTGAATTATTTTCAAAGATACTACCAAAGTACAAAACATTATTTGTACAATTTAAACTGATATTTAATTACCGGGGTAATACTTTTTTTTAATAATAATGGAAATACCATCAAACTAAATGAAATAAATATAAATATTACTAATTGAGCAAGTCCCTGCCATTAGGGAAAAACAAATATTATACTATTTAAGTGTCTTTCATACATAAAGTTGTAAACCATTTCTCTTTAAATTACTGTATATCATTAAATCCATGGAAAAACAACAGATTAAATTGTAATTAAGATCTATGATCTATACAAAACAGTATTTATGGACTTGTTCATTCCTGAGTCCTATATCTTTTTCAAGATAAAGGAATTTACTGAAAATAAAGGAGAAAGGAATTAGAGCACTCGATCTTGTTAAACAAATTCTCTAAATGTTATCAGAAGCACTGTCTTTGAGAAATGCCGCTGACTACCAGAAGGTCTGTCTTGGACAAATGCCGCTAAATGCCGCTGACTCTACCAGAGGATCTGTCTTGGACAAATGCCGCTAAATGCCGCTGACTCTACCAGAGGGTCTGTGTTGGACAAATGCCGCTAAATGCCGCTGACTCTACCAGAGGGTCTGTGTTGGACAAATGCCGCTAAATGCCGCTGACTCCACCAGAGGGTCTGTCTTGGAGAAATGCCGCTAAATGCCGCTGACTCCACCAGAGGGTCTGTCTTGGAGAAATGCCGCTAAATGCCGCTGACTCTACCAGAGGGTCTGTCTTGGACAAATGCCGCTAAATGCCGCTGACTCTACCAGAAGGTCTGTCTTGGACAAATGCCGCTAAATGCCGCTGACTCTACCAGAGGGTCTGTCTTGGACAAATGCCGCTAAATGCCGCTGACTCTACCAGAAGGTCTGTCTTGGAGAAATGCCGCTAAATGCCGCTGACTCTACCAGAGGGTCTGTGTTGGACAAATGCCGCTAAATGCCGCTGACTCTACCAGAAGGTCTGTGCTGGACAAATGCCGCTAAATGCCGCTGACTCTACCAGAAGCACTGTCTTGGACAATTGCCCCACCCACCAACCCATTTCATCTCATTCGTGACTTCTTACATGAAGTATGAACCGTTGGAATCCCACTGCAGCACATGGATACCAAACATGTGGATAAGACCACATAAGACCGCGGAACATTAACTGGCAAAATTGGAAATATACAGCTTACATCATTTCTATCTGTTACAATCAAAACATTCAGTGATGGACAATGTAATGGGCGGGTACAATTCGACGCGGACGTGGGGAAAACATGGGATTGAAATTGCAGATCAAAATTCATTTTCAATCCACCTGAACTGTTCAAAGCAAAGAGTAAATATATAATCCAAAAATCAACTAATTTCAACTCCCGATTACATATTGTTTGAAGTTCACATAATACGAGTTTTAGATTATAATTTTAAGAACGCGAAAGATCATAGAAGACAAAGATTATTTTTCAGGAGATATTTGATTCTAGAAGGGGGGGGGGGGTAAAAAATTGTTGAGTCAGGTCAGATGACTTAACATGACAATATATTTTATTTCTAGGATTATAAGAGTGCATGAGTTTTATACTTATTCTCACTGAGAAATGTTGGACAACTTTATTTAAAATTGTTAAGCCCCCTCCCCACCCCAACACAAACATATATTTACCTAACAGAAATGAAATTGTCCCTTTATATTTATTTAAAACACTGGACAGAAAAATTCAAACTGTACCAAAATTGAAATTATTTGTGATCTGGGTCGGTCAGTAACACTGCGGCTTCTAGCGTAGTTGAGGTGGATTGAAAATGAATTTCGATCTGCAATTTCAATCCCATGTTTTCCCCATGTCCTCGTCGAATTGTACCTGCCCATTTCATTGTCTATCACTGAATGTTTTGATTGTAACAGATAGAAATGACGTAAGCTGTATATTCCAATTTTGCAAGTTAATGTTCCACAGTCTTAAAGGCAGAGATTTTTTACCGGGTGGTAAATTCCAGGTGAGGGAGGAGCTTTTTGAGGTCCCGTGTTGCAGTAGGTGGTGGCAATTATCCCTCACTGCTCAAATCCCCTAAGTGATAAATACAGGTCTAAATTTGCAATTCTCCATCAGAAACTGGTGGTGTCTAAATAACAGTAAGAAATTCTTAAAAGGGTGTTAAACAAACAAACAAAGAAACTCTTAGATGGAAATTTCATGTTTTTTTTTTCCCCCTAAATATTTTTCATGTAATTTGACATATTACGGTAACCGGTATGTTCTGAAAAAATGTAAAATTTCAGGCTTATGTACCTTGATAATCCTATTCAGTATTTATAACACAATTAAACATGTTTGTATTTAAAGACACTAAAATAATACATTTCATTTTTCAGATGCAAAAGGAGGTCTTCATTATGGCATTTTATGGAATCCCAACCGATACCGAGTCCTGTATAGCTATCTAGTGGTCACCCTTCTAGTCGTCTTTGTAAACTTAATCCTCTACTTTTGTCCCTGCCTGTGTAAATGTTGCTGTGGACGGCGGACTCATTACTATAGGTGACGTATGCAGATTTTAGATCACCCACCTACCCACACCTGCACTCACAGAATTAGGTCAGAGGTCAAAGTCCCATAATTCCTGAAGATCACATGGAAATATAGTGAGAATATTGTGAAGATTTGACAGTTGTTTTTATTTAAATTAAGGAGATATATATGATTTTTATGATGTACATAAAATTAATGACTTTTTGTTCAGAAGGAAGTGATTGGTTGGATTTTTTTCTTTGAAGACAAAGAAAAGTTTTATTACCGTATAAGAAGAATTTTTAGCGAGGATTTAATTTTGGCATTTAAAGGGTTATGAGATCGGCTAAAATTGAATATTGATTAAAAATTAATTATGTTTTATTTTATTAGCTTCTTTTGCAATAATTTTAAAAATTGCTAAAATTACATCTCTCTAAAAATAAAATACCAATTTTTTAGGGCAAATCGCTAAAATTGCCTCTGGCTAAAACCTCCACTTATACAATATAAACACAAATTTACGTATAGTAAATATTGCTGATGTGAAATTAAAATCTGTGAATTTTCCTTGTCAAAGACCAGAAAATAAATCAGATATGGAATTATTTAAAGGTTTTTAGGGACATCAAGTGATAGATATAAAATTTAATAGAAGCAAATATATTAACTTGATAACATTTTCCCCAGGAACTAGGTTAAAATATATTGAAAATGACAGTAGTTTCTATAAGATTAAAAGAGATTATGAATTGATCAATTTTTGGATTTTAAATCCAAACATAAGTTTTTCTTGTACAGTATGATATGTACTTTATTTCATAATATGTTTCTTGTGATAAATGTACATGTGTGATATATGATAGCCATGACCTCCAGGCTAAATAATTCTTTTGGTGCATCAGCAATGTGATACATTTATTGAAATGTTTTGTTTTGTTCACCAGTGTGAAGAATTAACATGTTTTTTTTTTTCTTGTATCAGTCAAATTATTTTTTAATTATTTAATATGTTCAAAACAATTAACACGTGCCTCTAGAATAACTACACCCATCTGACTGTGAAACAGATCAAATCACTTTTCATGAATGAACTCTTGTGCACTGTTTAAGTAGTTAGTTGTTTGAATTTCAGAAAATGTGTTCCACTTGGATATAGTTATAGACTATAGTCATTGTAATGTTTTGAAAATATAAATTTTACTTCATTATCGGCAAATTTCAGAAAATATGTTCTACTTGCATATAGCCATGGTCATTGTAATGTTTTGAAAATAATTTAGATTCATTATTGGTAAATATATTTTTGTTTTTATTCAGGATTTCAATAAAGGATGGGATAAAGACTTTGAAAAAATTGTGATTTTCCTAAAAGAATGAATTTGTAAACTTTTATCCTAATTTAATTAATGCCTAATATCTTGTAATACATGTACTGTGGAATCATCATTGTTCTTAGGGGGGCCAGTGTTCTTGGATTTCATGGGTCATCACCCTTCCCCTTGAGTTTATATCCTGACAAATGTTTATAAAGTGAACATAATAATTCATTGAATCTACCACATAAACAAGTTACCCACAAAATAATGTCCCCAGCAAAAATAAAAATATTGCTTCCCCATGAACATTGACAAATTAAAATGATTCCACAGTAATAATTTTTTTTCTTTAACTTTTAAAACATGTTCTTTTAAATACTGAGATAAAAATATATATGCTTTACTAGCTATGTGTATGTGTTAAATGAAATTCATGTACAGTGGACCTTCAGATATCCGGACGCCAGATATCCGGATGCTTCAGTATCCAGACGATTTTTCATCGGAACGAAATTTTTAAATGTTATTCTGTCTTGTTTAACTGGTGATTCAGATATCCGGATGCTTCACATATCCGGACAAATTGACTGGGAACCAAAGCGTCCGGATAAATGAGGGTCCACTGTATTCAATAATGCATTTATCCAAATGTAAACCTGTCATAATCATACTTTTACTTGGAGATAAGTTATAGATGGTGTGCCAATCAAGACATACTAGTATGTAAACTGTGATATATACATGTAACTATAGATGTATTGAACCTGGAAGACCAGAAAATATTACATGTCTAAAAGGAACTGGTTATAATTGTCTATTCCAGTAATAATATACATTGTATACTGTATATGTTTTAAATTTTGCAAGTTTTTTGCTACAACTGATATTTTTGTTGTTGTTTCTAATGGTAACAAATTAGTGTTCCTTTTAAATTTCCTTGGGGTTGAAGTATTTACTTTTTTTTTAAATTGTACAAAAGGGCATTTCTACCATTTCCTGATTTATTCCATGTATATATGTAAATTTCTTGCAAATTCAGGAAAGGAATATCTAAAAAGATTTGGATAAAGATACATAGCTACTAAGTGACGTCCCTTAATAGGTTGTACAAAATACATGTAACACTTGTATGTTGTATCTGGTTCTGTATGCATGAGAAATAAATATAAAAAAAAGAAGCATGAAAAATACAGAAATGTAACGAAAAACTTGACCAATTATTAAACATGTTAAAATATAAAAATTAAAAATCAGAAAGAAAAAAGACAAAACAAAATTATGTGGGATATTTATGGAAATTAATTATTTGTAATGTATTATTGCAAATGTTTGAATTTGTTTTAAATTTATTTTTCTTAAGAAATTACTAGACGGAAATGTATTTTTCTTTGTCTGCTATGAAAGTTGTTCTTTTCTTTTGTATTAGGGAGATTTTTAGGTTTAATAGCTTTATGGTCCATAGTTTTCTTGTCACAATTTTCATAATAGATAAGATGATGCCACCAGTGTTTATAATGAGCATTATTGGACAATCCCAAGCATATAACTCTTTGTATATAGCTTTTCATTATTAACTCTTGTGTTTTATTTGTATTAACCAATTTAAAAAAAAAATTCCATTGTAGTGCTCTGTGTTAATCCTTATATTAAGAATTGCAGTGCGTGCTTATATTTAATATCGAGTGAAATTAATTGCTTACATCGCAAGGATAACCCAGCCTTTGATAAAAAATTATAACCATTCCCTATTTTGTTATGATATCTCATTTAGGGATCAATTGACCAGAGAGTGAAATAAATATATGAAAACATGTATGATTTTATTCTACTTTAAATGTTAAAAATGATTAAGTTAACACTGGATGAAATGAGCAGTTTCCCTTCATGGGAAACTACTGTATATATGTACTTAAAAAAGCAGGCTTCATATTTTAGCAGCTTTGGCGCAGCAATTGATGCGCTAATTCATGAATACAGCTAAGAAATCATTTTTAAGTAAAATATATGGCAGGTTAGTGAGTAGCGCTAATTCATGACTACGCCAACAACTCAATACCCAGTGATTCTGCTAAAATTTGAATACGCCAATTTATATACACGTACAGTATATGGAATCCACATGAAAATCTGAAGCTTACATTGTTTCCCATTGGTTTCTGCAGCGGATGACAGGTTACTCTGCTAAGTTTTTGTACCACGGAAACTAATACGCGCCGATTCCATTAAGTATCCAGAACCAGGGAAACCTCGGGAAACCAGAAATTTTCCAGGCCTTCCATGTAGCTTCCCTAAATGGGAAACCTGAAGATTCCATTGGTTTCCATAATAAGGAAACTACTTGGAATCAGAACATAGGGGTTTCCGTGGAATGGAGACTCGATGGAATCCATAGGTTTTCCATATACGTATTTACATATGTCAATGATCTCAACATGGCACACACTTGTGTTCTGTGGATATTTTGTGGTCACACTTTTTGTGATCCCTTTTCAATACTTGGATAGTGGTTCCTGTTCATTCTGTGGTCAAGTTTAAATGAAAAAAGCCCATTTGCGCCCATTGAAATAGTAGGCAAATAAAAGTTATATTTAATTTAAAATTGCAGTAAAGAAAGTCATCATTCGGGCGAATACTAGTGAAAATGTTGCTAAATATTAGTAATTTTAGTTAAGTGTGCCTTTTTGCATTATGTCACGATCTTTTTTGACAGATGCATCCAGCGTAAACAAATCACGCCCCCACTGTGTGATTGGTCAACTCAAATTATCAACATTGACACGGAAATAGTCTGTTGCTGTGGATGTCATATGAGTTATCCTTAATGAGTTATGTACTCAGCATGGTACACTGAATCCTGAGAATTAAGCTGTTTACTGTGTCCATCACTTTGTAGATATTAGTATATTACTCAACTCTGTCCATTGGATTCTGCGAGTTATTGAGCTATTTAGTGTGTCCATCACTTTGTAGATATATAACAATGTTCTCAACACGGTCCATTGAATTCTGTCAGTTAAGCTATTTAGTGTGTCCATCACTTTGTAGATATATAACAATGTTCTCAGCACAGTCCATTGAATTCTGTCAGTTAAGCTATTTAGTGTGCCCATCACTTTGTAGATATATAATAATGTACTCAGCACTATCCATTGAATTCTATGAGTTGAGTTATTTAGTGTGTCCATCACTTGCAGTCCAAACCTTAAATTACTGACTCTGCACAATTGTTGAACCATATTTGTCTGCTATCAAAGAAACATGAAATTGATGGCAGTCTGCCTGTAAAAAAAAAAATCACAAGGACTCAACATAAATATTAATAAAATCTTAATAAATGAAAAATAGCTAACATATTTTACAGAATAGAAGGATTTTGCAGAGCTTGTACATGCGTCTTACCTTTATTTTCAGTTCCCATAGTTGATCTCTTTGG